TTTTGTTTTTTTGTTGAAAAAGGGGGGGGGGGGGGGGGGGGGGGGGGGGGGGGCTATAGCAAGGTTTTTTGCTAAGCTCATTGCTAAACTTACTGTTGATACATAGCCACAAACAGTAGGGATCACGAACAGACAGAACCGCGGTCTTATTCACAATTGAGAACAAGTACAATTTTAATTTGGTAGGTTAAATGGCCGTATTAGTATTTCAACTGACACTGGATTTTGGTAAATGGTAGTTGAAGTCCCTAATAATTTTTAAGTAAAATAGGTAGTGCAAGTGTCTCATGTCTTGGAGTGGTTGCTGCACCCCGCTTTAAGGTTGGTATACAAGTAAGCTCCCCGGGACACGAGTATGAGAAACATAGAAAAGTATATTAATCATAGTAGTTGAAATTAAAGGCTAAACTGATTTTCATTTTGGGTACTATAGCCTGGATGACCTTTTTAAAGGTCACAATGTCCTTTGTGTATTAGAAATAAATCCAAACAAGTGCTAACAGAAATGCAGGCCATCTTGAGATTTCAATCACATGACTAAGTCACTACCATATTCATGATTGCTTTCTATTCAGCAGTTGGTTATTTGCTACAAATCAGCTCATCAAACTTTATTCTTATTTAAAAATTTCAGAGGTCATAATTATCAATACTTCAAGTGTCACTGATGCTAATGCAGATTTCTTGATTTCTGTAGGTTGCCATAAAAATTATTGATAAAACCAAGTTAGATGAATGTAACCTGAAAAAAGTTTACCGTGAAGTTCAGATAATGAAGAGTCTCAACCATCCACATGTGTTAAAACTTTACCAGGTAAGAGCTGCAAAGAACCGTCCACCCGCAGACCTATCCAAATTCCACATCCTTCCGCATGTATCACCATCGAATGCCAGACAGTTCAAGCGAATGACAGTTCAAGCGAATGCCAGTTCAAGCGGATGCATTTAGTGCGAACTATAATAAGGGCGAATTTATTGTTGCCCTATTCTTGTATTTGTTTGTTTTAAATGCAAAAAAATGCTCTGTGCACTAAAGTTCTGAAATGTTTTTGGTACTTTCTGATAATTATTCCATGTTTGTTTATTCCATGTATTCCATTTGCGCTGGCACCATCCACATGCAGCACCATTAATGCAGAACCATCCACATACAAGGTCATCCACACAGGCATCACTGACATGCAGCACCATCCACACATGATAATGTTTTACATTGTAAGAGCTTACATGGTGCTCTGTGTGGAATGTGCTGAAATATGTTAGCTGCGTTTCATTAAATGTTTATAAATAACCTGGCAGAAATTAATTATATTTTAACATTTTTGTTATTTTTAGGTTATGGAAACTAAGAATATGCTGTACTTAGTTACTGAGTATGCTCAAAACGGAGAGATGTTTGGTAAGTTTCAGCTTGAAATTATGTGAAGAAAAATGCATGCTTTTGAAATGATGCTGATGGCTAACATGGTCTGGTTGAGATGATGCTGATGGCTTTACATGGTCTGGTTGAAATGATGCTGATGGTTTACATAGTCTGGTTGAGATCAATAGTTTACATAGTCTGGTTGAGATAATGGTGATGGTTTACATGGTCTGATTGAGATGATGCTGATGTTTTACATGGTCTGGTTGAGATTATGCTGATGGTTTACATGGTTTGGTTGAAATGATGCTGATGGTTTACATAATCTGGTTAAGATTATGCTGATGGCTTTACATGGTCTGGCTGTGGTGATGCTGATGGTTTACATGGTCTGATTGAGATGATGCTGTTGGATTTACATGGTCTGGCTGTGATGATGCTGATGTTTTACATGGTCTGGTTGAAATGATGGTGATGGTTTACATGGGCTTGTTGAGATGATGGTGATGGTTTACAGTGTCTGATTGAGATGATGGTGATAGTTTACTTGGTCTGGTTGGAATGACACTGATTTATTTGTTTTATCATCAGATTACCTTGACAACCATGGCCGAATGTCAGAAAAAGAAGCTGGGAAGAAGTTTTGGCAAATTGTGTCAGCTGTAGATTATTGTCACAAACACAACATTGTACACAGAGATTTAAAGGTATAATTTACAATAATGATTACTTACCATTTTACAAAAACCAGACTAAACTATTCAAACCATTGTTGATCTATTAATAATAGACTGGTTGATCTATTTTTGGTAGATAAATTGATTGATTGATTGCTGTCTCTTATACACATCTAGATGTGTATAAGAGACAGAACTTGGACCTAATCCGCTTTAGTGTTTTTCTGGCAGAAAATCTACTACTGGACAGTAACATGAACGTGAAGATAGCAGACTTTGGATTTAGTAATTATTTTACTGTTGGAGAGCAGCTTGCAACCTGGTGTGGGAGTCCTCCATATGCTGCCCCAGAGGTGTTTGAGGGTCAACGTTATGAAGGACCTCAACTGGATGTTTGGGTGAGATATCTTCTATTTAAGATAATTTTGTTCACTTTGCTCTTTCTAAGAGTCTTTAGGATTCAAGATAACTCAGTTGGCTAAACTGTTTGTAGACACTGTGTGCACTGAACCGTGGAAATCAATTGTTACTCTTTGGTACCTGGTCCAGTTCCATCTGTTGCTCTCTTTTGTGTTGTTTTAAGGCTAAAAGACTCTTCCGGAAGAGACATTTAAGACCTTGCTCTCATGTACAACATAGCCCATTATTTGTTAAGGAATGCAGTATGCTCTTTGGAAAGTACTATTATTTATTGTCATTGATATTGTTATTATTATTATTATTATTATTATTGTTATTACCACTGAATCATAATTATTAAAAGTTTTAGTTATTAGGTCATGCAGTGTTCAGGAAGTTGATACCCTCCCCACATGGGAATCAATACCAACCTCAGGGTATTGTTATTCAATATCCAATCTAGGATAGACTCTAAAATCATTTGAATTTATTGAGTTCACAATTTTATGAATGTCAGTATTTCGTGTGCTTATGTGAAGTAATATTTTGCTCAATTTGATTTTTTTAAATTTTATTTAAAAAAAAGTGGATGTATGGTAGATGAAGGTTCACTCATCTATTTAGGAAAGGTTCTTGTTTCAATCTTTCATTCTTGTACTCCTTCTCTCTTTCACTTCTTCACACTTTCACTCTTCAAGCGTTCCTCTCCTTAGTCTTTCTTCTTTGCTCATTTAGTCTTTTTCTGATACATTCACTCATACATTCATTCATTCAGTCATACATTCTTTCATTAATTAATTAATTCATTCATTCACTCATTCATTTAGTTATTGGTTACTGCTTTTTTCAATTTTCTTTTACTTCTTTAAACTTTTACTCCTTCAATCATTCATAAACTCATTCGTTCGTTTGTTTATTCCTTCGTCCGTCCGTCTGTTCATTCTTTCAATTCATTCAATCTTTCATCAATTTTTTCATGCATTCATTCATTTGTTCATTCACTTATTAATTAATTCATTCATTCATCCTTTTATCAATACATTTATTCATTCAATTAATTATTCGTTCAATCATTCACATTAATAAATTAATTTATTCATTTTAATATTTATGTTTCATTTTAACCATCAATCATACATTCTTTCACTTATTTCATTCTTTTATTTATATTATGCTTTTTTCCCTGCTGTACCTTTATTTTTAAATTCCCACATTCATTTATTTATATTTCACTCCCTTCATCTCCTTTTGCCATTATTTATGTATAAGAAATTTTTATTCGCATGTCAGATAATTTTTGGTACTGTAAGACGATTGGTGCTTGTAAGTCGTACGAAGATTGCGTCACAAGCTTCTGGTGAACTGAGTGTTCACGTCAAGTGTTACAGAGCACCGTCACATTTTGCAAAGCACATACCTAATAATAGATTCTACCAGCTGCGTAATTGGACCCGATGTCTCAAATGACCTCTGACATTTTACTTAATTAGATGCAGGAAATGATGGCATTCCTTCTGCTTAATCTTGTTGCTATGGTAATCCCCACTGTAGGTATTTGGTCTTGATGACATCATAGGCTTATTAGCAAGTGAGTCGGCTAGTAGTTGGTAAATCAATATATTATTTTATGTGCGGTACTGTTCAGTACATTAACAATTAAACTTAAAGTTTAGCTGTCAGTGAATTGTATATAATAATTAGAATATTTAATTTACCTCTATATAGTAAATTAGGTGGTTATTGTTGGTAGGAATTTATTGTGTCAATTATCATTGAATTGTAATTGACTAATATTGCATTTCATTGTAGGATACCAATTATCTTTTTATCATTATTAGCATTGCTGTTGTTAATCAATTATGATTGTTGTAAAAAGTTTTGTAGTGAAGGTGAATTTATTTATGTGTCTTAATTTTTTATGTATTTTTTTTATGATGAAAAATAAAGATTGATTGAAGGTCCAGTTAAACTGGGTCTTTACAGTATTTGAATGGTCACCTAAATAGTAGTTTTAAAATTGTTCTTGTGATGTTTTCAAAGTAAAATTAAAAGGGTGATGTTGAAGACGTGAACAGAATTTGTATATTCAATTCATGGTTCATCACTGACTGTTTGAGGGTTATTTGCTGACCTTTGAAGGTTTATTGCTGACCATTTGTCAGTTAATTTCTGACCGTTTTTGTTCCACATAAAACATGGATGGAAATTAAAAATAATAGACAATCATTGTTTTACTAATTTTTGTTCCTTAGCTCATGATTTTCCTGTTATTGACATTTTTAATAACGTGTGTTGCGAACCCGCTGCCCAGCAATATTGATTATTTTGAATAAAAACAAAACTTTATTTTTGGCCACATAGCACACCCAAAACCACAAAAACGGAAAATTCAGAAAAAAAATTAAAGTTTTTCTTTATTTTTATTACGCCAGCTAGATGTTTTTGGAAAAACCGTTTGCTAATAAGAAAACTAAATTTAATTCATATTATTCTTCCACCCTCCTCTGACAATCTTTAAACAAATAAGTTGGCAAATCAAGGTATAAGAAAAGTCTTACCTAAATGATTATTTATTTATTACATATTCGGCACAACAAATCAGAAAATGGCCAGAGGGGTGCCAAGAGGACACCATGGGCTGAGAGCCCAACACAAGGTGTGGGTATCATCTAAACCCCGTGGACAAACAAACAAACAATAAATAACAAAACAGCACAAAGGCAAAGATGACACATCAGTTTGAAATAGCCAATAAAAAAAATTGATAAAATAGATAAAAAAATTAACAGACAAAAGTTTAAAAAATGGGTTTACAAGATTTCATTTTGCAAACCGCACAGTTAAAATCTGTGTTAAAATACCAAAAGAACAATGAATGATTGAAATGTTGAAAGTACCATACTCGCGCGAATAAGCGCCCCGTTTGAATAAGCGCCCCTCTCGAATAACCGCCCCTCCTAACGTGAAAATTTCCTTAAGCGCCCCGTTTGAATAAGCGCCCCCTCATAAGATTTTCTTTTTAGCAAGTCAATAATCCAATCAATCCTGGGACTGTGGTTGTTGGCATGAATTGAGCTGTAGAGTGAAAACACATTCTTCTTCGGTCAGTATCAAAATGAGGATATTTCTCTTGGACAGATGAGAGCTCCGATCCCTGGACAGACAGTATATTTTCAACTTTACTCTTTTTACATATTTGTCTATGCCTAGTCCTACTCCGATGGCCAACAAACTAACCACTACCCACCACCACTAATTGCATCTGCTATTCTGCTGTTATGTAAATATTCACGCATTCTTGTCATGAGCCATGTTTTCTGGACGATTATCTTTTCTAACCACCATTCGTAATGTCCTTATATAATCTTTTTTCATTCAAAATGTGCCTCTTGAATTTAATAATTTCCCATAAGAACCCCTCGATTTTCATCTATTTCCATAAGCGCCCCCTCAATTTCCACTCTGTTTTCATAAGCGCCCCGTTTAAATAAGCGCCCCGTTTGAATAAGCGCCCCTCAGAAAGTGCAAAAAAATATTTTAAGCGCCCGTGCGCTTATTCGCGCGAGTACGGTAGTTAAATGCTGTAAAATGTAATGACTCTTAGATTGGTACAGTATTCGTTAGTGATTACCTGTGTTGTTAAATCACTGTTAATTGTTCAATTGCATTGCTTCATTCAGAGTCTTGGTGTTGTGCTGTATGTGCTGGTATGTGGTGCTCTTCCATTTGATGCCAAGACACTTCCACAACTCAAGGAGCGTGTGTTGGCTGGCCGGTTTCGGATTCCATATTTTATGTCATGTGGTAAGTTCATGGTCAACAGATAATGTTAAGTTGGGTTTCCATACAATCACTACACACTATCAGGGACAGCATTCGGTGATGCTCATTGGTTGGTTGAATTGGGAAGCCCTCCCTATTTTGTTTTGGATTGCTACGCAGTAAAACAATTGCACTAAAAACACTGTATCGACAGTGTAGCAATTGTATGGAAACCAGACTGAAACTGGTATACATTAACATTGGTCATTCTGTTGCCTTGTTTAATTGTAATATTCTATGGTATAATACATCCAACTAAACTACAAATACTCCAAACTATATTTGAGCTCAATAGTAAATTACTGTCAGTGCACCAGGAGTTTCAACAAACTTTATTATTCCTGAACATAATAAGACCTTCAAATAGTATTTCAAATAGTATATATTCACTGAGCTAAAACTCTGGAATATGATCCCTATTATTATTGCTGATTCATCATCCAAATAAGTATTCATACCAAACAATTTATCTATAATCAAGTCAAGAAAAAATAATTAGCATAACATAATGTTATAGTAATTAAGTTTACTTGGAGACCAGGCCCTCCCATCCAGCTGTCCTGATTGCCAATAAGGAAAGTAAGAATACGAATGAATATCCATATAATAAATTTTATATATCCTGAAAAAAATGTCAACCACCTATTGTATTTTTTCTTGACTTGTCTTGTTTTACCACAAGATGTGTATAAGAGACAGCCGTTTGAATAAGCGCCCCTCTCGAATAACCGCCCCTCCTAACGTGAAAATTTCCTTAAGCGCCCCGTTTGAATAAGCGCCCCCTCATAAGATTTTCTTTTTAGCAAGTCAATA